GAGACCCATGCTGAAGGAACACCACCAATTTAGGGTATGCTATTCTTGTGGGAGATGGAAAGGGCAAGAGAACGTCAGAAACGCATGATGCCTTTACAGCTTCTGCTCTGAACTGGTGCCTCAGACCAGCAAGTCAGACGGTTGAGCCTGACTCAGTGGGGAAAATCCGCCTGACTGCAGAGGCACACTGCTGTGAGTCCCACGGCCACGAGAGGGGGCGTGGGATCCTCCTACAAAATGGGCTGAAGATCCGGGAACAACAACGCATCTGTCACAGCACCACTTCATGATAAGGAAAGGTCCCTGAGCAACAACCCCAGCTCTCCACTACTTAAACCCAGAGATCTAGTCTACTACGATCAAAAGCCTGAGCACTCTTAAATACTTGCCCACTTTCTCATCTACTTTGAGAAATACACATTCAGTTTTTAGGGCAATGGCTATCTCTTCAGACCAGCATCATCATGCGATGCATTGTTCAATCGCATACATGGTGCCGGGTGAGCGTGGAAAGTCGGACTGATTGGTAACTTACTAGGTGTGAGGCAAGAACCAGCGCACTCCAGGTAACAGGGAGGAAGTAACGTCAAACTGATGCTAAAGAAAAACTTAACTGCAACATGTAAGAACTTTACCTTATGAGCAAATCTGCGGGGACCACCATGGCAGGAAACAGCGCTATTACCAACATGCTCCCCGGGTCAGAGGATGCCTGTGGATGCCTGTGGATGCTCTGGAGGCCTCAGGACACACTGCTGTGCTACAGCTGTGCCTGGGCTGTAAGGACTGTTGACCTGCTAATAGTTTGCTTTTATTTTTTCAAGTGTGCCTTAAATATTGCAAAGGCGCCCGTGCACGTATCTAAGCTAAGTGTCCTTCTGCATTGGGTCACTGCCTAGTGTTTGACACTCAGCCCATCCTTCGATTCTTTCCAGTTTCTATACACTTTGATTCTTTCCATTTTTCTGTATTTCTTCAACTTCCTCTAAGTTCCACCCACCTGCCTCATTTGCATTGATTTTACATTTTTGGACTTTTCTCATCAGGGAATAATAGTTACACTGTTGGTATATTCAGAGAGTCTGACGTTCTCATCATCTGTGTTTCTAGCTTCTAGCTGTGGCTTCAACAAAGTCAGAAGCTAGCTGGGAATTTTGGCAAATGGAAGCCTAGGGACCAGTGAGACAAACATCCAGAGTTTATTTGCCCATGAAACGAGTAACATCCATATGAAATATAACTGAGATTATTTGCTGGGCGGCCAACCCTCAGAATAACCCACCTGGTTGAATGTTGCAATGAAATCCATCATACCTATTTCTTCCCATATCCTCCTTCTATTCACAAAGCCCAAGGGACTGGTGTAGCTCTAGATTGTGGTGAATTTAGGTTCTCTTCTGTAATATAGAGCGTCAATTTAAGCTAGGGCTTTCGATCCCCCCTAAAATAGATGAGGATCTCTGGTACCAGGGATGGAACAGGCTGGGATTGGGAGGTGGCTAAGAAAGACAGCATCACTGCCAGGCCTCCCATGTGCATCAAACAGATCCTTTCCACTTCCTTCTAGCCTCACGGCAATCTGTGATGTGGTGATCAACACGTAGGATGAGGTGGGATTTGGACCAGTCTTGGAGGATGTGGTAACTTACATGATAATAACTTCTCTCAAAAGTCATGATTTATTGAAAAGAGGTTCTATGGCACATAAAGGCAGAGCACTGGATAATTAGCCTTGAGCATGGGAGCCCTTGACGTTATATCCAGAAGCAGGGGTACCAGCTAAGGCAGCAAAGGATGCAGAAGGTTCGAAGTGACTATATAGACACAAGGTTTCAAGACGACCCTAACATTGATGTGGTCAACTAGTTAGTTGAGTCACCAAAAGTGAGTAATTGATAGTGGTATGCAGAAGTCATAATAAGACTGATTTTGGCTTTGGGGTGCAATGCCTGCACTATTGGTCAGTACTTCTGAGTACTGTAAAGAGGTAATTTGCACATTTTTATTCTTTGTGGGAACACTGGAATCCCTGAAATAGAAAATCATGGTTTAGCCTATAATTTGACTGACTTCTGCTATTAGCAAGGGGTTTTAAACTGAAATGTTAATTCCTTCTCTTTTTGAAGACAATACTTGGCTTTTCTGCTTATGTTCTACAGTTTAAAAAGTTGAAGATGGGGATGCCTGGGTGGCTCAGAGGGTTGGGCCTCTGCCTTCGGCTCAGGTCATGATCTCAGGGTCCTGGGATCGAGTCCCACGTCGGGCTCTCTGCTCAGTGGGGAGCCTGCTTCCTCCTCCACCTCTCTCTGCCTGCTGCTCTGCCTACTTGTGATCTCTCTCTGTCCATGAATAAATAAAAATCTTTAAAAAAAAAAAGTTGAAGATGGATAGGTCCAAAACTCAAAGCACCCTTTGAGAAGTAGGTGATTCCAAGAGTAAGACCCTACAAGATAAGCCTGGAAAATATCATCATGCTAAGAAACAAAGAAGCATTCTGGAACTCCTAGGGGTGTGACAGAGGGACCCCAGAACCATCAAAGAGGAGACTTGTTGGTCCAAAGATGGGGCAATTTGAGCACCAATAAGGATAATAACAAAACTTGTGAAAGAGTGAATTATAGGTTTAAATCCAGGCATTCAGAAGGACGCATCGAAAAACCCCACAACACACAAGTCATTGATTGCTGTTGGAGAACGCAGGGAACCAACTCGTTATTTTGAAAAGAAAGAAAGAATTACACATGTATCCTGCCTTTCCTGTAAGAACTGTAGCTCAGAGTGACCAAACAAATGATGGGAGAAGTTAGTCTTTATGTAAGTATTCCAGTAACAAATGAAGACATAATGATAAAGTGGGAATATTATCAATATTGTCATTTGCAACCTCTGATGAATTAATAAATACAGGCAACAATGATCCATGGCAGCTTACACCACAGAAGAAGAGACGGGAAGACATGAGATGTTTCTTAACGGAAATGTACTAAGTCAGTTATGAAGGAGGATTGCCTAAAGTATCACATCTAAACCTGATTTATGTCTAGATCTACCTGCCGACAGAGAACACAAGAGACAGAGGGTCATGTTAAAGGATCTTAAGGATAAAATTAACCCCAATTTAGACTGCAGAAAAGTCTACAGAAAAAAAGCCAAAAAGAAACCCTAACATTCTTTACCCCCAAGGTTGCAAGGAAAAGAAAAGAACAGGAACCTACGGACTAAAAACCAAAGAGGTTTATCAGCCCATCACAGTATGCAATCCTCAGGCATAGTGGTGGCTTGGGTGCTGAACTCCCAAGAGAAATTCATGTCTGACTTCAAACCTGACTTTCAAATGGGGAACATTTAACTGCTTAAAACCAGAGTTAACACGTCTTGGAGGCCACGGGATCCACTGTTCATGATCTTTCACGAGCACAACCATGTCGAGCCTCGAACTGCTTCCCCGCTGAAATGTCTCTAGAGTGCTCGTGAATTAGAAGTGGGTCTGTGGGTGTAGGGGAGCAGCGTTGAACCAGACACTCGGGGACGTAAGAGCAGCTGCTTCTGGGAATCATCCTGTGACCACTCAGCAGTACTCACGACAACACACCGCATGCCTAGTTAAGTGGTATTTATTTGCCTTCCTAAGCCACCAGCACACACTGTTTTTTTCTCTATTTTTAAAACCTTGATGTTGATCTGACATATGCTTAGCTCTGGGATTACGCATGTAATGTCTTCAGGATACTGCTGAACGAAAAGCAAAAATATTTATTTGACCATGAAACTGAGTGCAGATTATCAGACATTTGATCCAGTTGTGAAGACCAAGGTTAATGTGATGAGACCAAGGGCAGAAGGCAGCAGGATATTTTTTCCGTAAAAGGAATCCACAGCCCAAATATGTTCAAAGAACAAGGATCGACTCATCTTCATGGTTAAAACAGATCATGTTTTACCTTTACTGCCTTGTGTATGCATGATTGCAAACCCTAAGGCATATCCTTATAATCCAATGTCAAGTGATCAGTTGAAACCTCTGTAAATACAGAGGTTACCGCTTGCCACTGAATATAAGAGTGAAGGAAAAAGGTAGAAATCCAAATCTCTCTGGCCAAGTTCTGGAAGGTTGGGGATGTGACAAGAAAACTAACAAAGCTTATTTTTTTTTTTTTTTTATCAGAATGTTCTATCAAAACCAGCTGAGTGGTACAAAAAAAACTGATGTTAGCAACCTAACATTCTTTAAGGTTTTCATCAAAGATTCATATCTTCCAAAAATTGTTCTCTAATATTCATTTTATAATGATCCTTCTGTTACTTTGTCTTTGCAGTAAAGCACTGCCATATATTTTTATATATTATTCTCTAATTATTCAGGTGTGGCCTCAGATATATCTCTATGTCTTCAAAGGCATAGCAAATCTTCCCAAGAGCAAAGAATGAACTTGAGTCCCTCATTTCTCTTAGTGTAGTGGTACAGAAACATCAAAAAAGCCTTTGCTGGGAAAAAGAAGAAGAAAAAAAAAATGGAGGAAGAAAATGGTGGGGGGAGGTAGGCCAGCAGCAAGTGTAAGTCTGAAGGCTGAATATTACATCATTGCTTATGCTTTCATTCAAACAAATAGTATTTCCAAGATTACATTTAAAGACAAATCTTTAGACTACCCTGAATGTCAAGAAAAGATGTATAGTTTGTGCAAATTAAGATGAATGAATGACTTCATAGTATGGGGCCACAGTAAGTAAAAACACGGTAAGTGTAATTATCCAAGGAACGTGGTGCAACTGTTGAAACATGGACCAAGGGACCAGCTGGCCTTCACTCTGGTGCTATCACAATTTCACAACCATGTCTTCTTTAATGCACCTTGTGATTCTTCCCAAAGGTTTTTCTTTTCTCCCTTTTTAAAGCCAAACTAAAAATGACTTAGTCAGCTCCTTGATAATATGTACATTAGGGACAAATCAATTCACCCACTTTAATAATGCTTCTTACTAGTAATAAGTAAGATTACCTCTGAGTAATTTGGTGAGAGATATTTCCCATTGCACTTGGCAATGCTCCTCAGGATTTTTAATGCTTTATCTCCTTTCTTCCGTGTAATCAGCCAGCGGGGAGACTCAGGAACCACCCTGGTAAGAAGAGGACTTTTTTGAGTTTTATCTAGTAATTTCAACACCTAAAAGTTAATGGCTTGAATTTCTCTATCAAAATGGATCTCATGATTAGGTACAAGTTTAGGAGATTCTGAGAGTTTAGAATAGTCTCTCTGCAACATAAATTATCTCAAAAATTTTATAATGGAAGGGAAAAATGCTCAGTTGATAACTGAATCATTGGTCATAATAAAAATAATCAATATTGCATTGGTCTTGTAAAACCAGGCTGTCCTAGAACACAGTGTCCTTGATTATACATTACGAAAAGAGCTGGGATTTAATGAGCATTTAGGAAAAGATGAAGACCCAATTCATGTAAACTGATTGCCCCATATATTAAAATTAAATTAGAGGAATGATCAAAATACATTCACTACAATAAGAGTCAAATGCGTATAACCTGTAGTTTTCTGATAACTTAATTTTCTCATGCTCTTAACATTTTCATTCCTCAGGAGATTCCCAAATAATATTAATTTGCTTAATAGAACACACAGAGAAGCAAATCATTTTCATTGCATTTAATTTGCATGTTGAAATATTGGCAGATATGGTATGTTGCCTTATAGTGTTCAAGAAGATATTACAAAATAACAAAACATAATTAATACTTTATTTAGATTTTCTGCTTGGATACTTTGTTAATTTATTTTAATAACAACTATGAGTTAAATAATAATCTCTATAAATTCTCAATTCTCTAGAAATACTCAAAGTCCATAGTCCCTCTGGAGATGTTAGGAAATCTCAGTTGCTTTCATTTTCATGGTGGTTTAGAAGTGCAGACTCTACAATTCTTTGGAATAAGAATAAATTCAATAATGACCAAAACCACTTTACCAGTAATAAAGGAGGAAGAGAAAGCCGGGCAGCGTTATGGCTAGCTGGATCCCTTGCCAATTTGGGATGAGGTAGGCAATTCCAGGGAGAATTATGATTCCAAGGGTGAAGAACATTTGGACCACTATTCCCACAATTCTCCTTTGCTTTGAACCTACTATTTCTGTTACTGAAGGAAAACAAACACAGAGGTTAGGGAAGCTGAAGATCAGCTCCAAAATAAACAAGCAGAGACATTACATCTGTCATATCCATTGGTATTGCTAGAATGCTAGCAAACCCTGAAAGGTACCACGGCTTCCCTACGTGCTGGCACTATGCTTTCTGCTCACTCTCTCCTCTGCCAGTTACTGGCAAGTGTGTGCCACGCTCATCCCGCACACCCAGGCCAGCACTCTTCTGGGTATACAAAGAACACATGTGTTGATTTTAGGAAAGCTTAAGTGATGATGATTTTATCAACACAGAACTAGAATCAACTGGCTAGCTTTCTATCACGGTAGTTCTAAAGATTTGCCTATTGTAGTCTCCTTAGGAGATTATTTGTAAGCATTTATGAGCATTATACTCCTACAAATAATTTTTTCAAGATCACCACATAGTTTCTATTAAATGATAATTCTCCCCACAGCACTGGACTTTACATTTATGTGATATTTCTTTAAAAATCACATGGGGGATTTTACTGCATACCTTCTCCCACCTCTATCCCCCCAAACTTATCCTTTTCTATTTGTCATTCATTCTATTCTGACGATCCTGGGATGTGCTACCTTAGTGGTGCCCTAAGATCACAACTTTAAAAATTTCCTTAAAAATACTTCACATTCCAAAGTTATCCCTTCTGCCCCAGCCGGCGATAGGCAACCTCCCAGCACCCTCTCTCCTCCCCCACAAAAAGATCTTCAGAGGGTCCCCAAAGTAGGCACTGCTTGGGGATGAACTGTCTAGCAGTAATGAAAGGGACTAGAAGCCTAATGATCTGGAGCAATAATCAAAAACAAGCTTTTGCATCTCCCTACTCACAAATCCACCATGACCCTCAGAGTAGGTAGCTGGTCCTGAACCTCACCAGAGACAGAACCAAAATAGCAGCCAGGACTTTTCTCAGTAAAATGAGCAAAGAGAACGGAAATTTATTCTTTCTTTCATACCCTGAAGGTCAAACTTTCTAGTTACGTTTTTAGGTCAGATCTCCTTCACGGTAAAAAGTTCTCCACTTGAGCAAAAGGAGTAGAATTAAGAAATAGTATCTGAGAACACAGGAATGTCATCTCAAACCCTATCACAGAAATACACAGAAAATGCATATTTTTTTAAAGATTTTATTTATTTATTTGACAGAGGGAGATCACAAGTAGACGGAGAGGCAGGCAGAGAGAGAGAGAGAGAGAGAGGGAAGCAGGCTCCCCGCTGAGCAGAGAGCCCGATGCGGGACTCGATCCCAGGACCCTGAGATCATGACCTGAGCCGAAGGCAGCGGCTTAATCCACTGAGCCACCCAGGTGCCCCAGAAAATGCATATTAAAAGTGTTTTAAGAACCGCTGAAATTTTTATAAAAATTGAACTCTGATAAAGCAAAGCAGTAAGGTGTTAGTGTATGGCCATGCTAGAAAGTGGTTGGTGCACCCAAGTACTTTGTGATATTCCATATTTGGCAAGGTGGTGTTTAGTTTCCCAAGAGTCAGAATCTCACCCCCACACCTTCTTATTTGCAGAGATCATTACTGTGGCAGCCGCCAAGCCTCCACATACGAGCCCCAGGAGGGCTGACTGGCCGGCACCGCCCAGCCACCTGCCCCTGGCTGTCACAGAGACACAGAGGCGTAGCAATGTCTTACCAATCACGTAGCAGGTCATCCATGTCCCTTTTCCAAACACACCTTGTAGGAAGCGGAAGACCACAAACACAGGGAAATTGGGTGCAAATGCCACCAAAACACCGGTGACGCCGACACCAAAACAGGAGATTAGGTAAATGACTAGTCTGCCGTACCTTTTTGAGAAAGAGAGAGGAAGAAGTCACCTTCAATGTTTCCTTTGACACAATGAGAAAGACTATCATTAGAAGTGTTGTTAAAAGAGGTTTAAGTACAAAAATTTTGTTTTTAAGACTGCATTACCACCAGGTACAGGATTGTTGAAAATTCTATGTTTTGTTTTACAGCAAAACCAGGGCAAATAAGAACATGTGTGTCTGAAATGACATGACAAAATGTAAGGCACAGAATACAATCTTCGGGATTGTAATTTCCAGAAAGATGCTGCTCTCCATCACATCCAGTGCCCCCAGTGGCACAGCCTGAACACTTTATAGCATTTTTGTGAGTGGGGTGGGAAGGGGAAAGGGAGAAGGCTCCAGGCCCAGGCTTCAGTTTTGGCTCAATCAACAGCCAGCCCTGCAACCTTGGGTCCATGTCTTCAACAATCCAAGACTCAGATTTTGTTGGTTTGCTTGTGGGTTGCCCCCCCACCCCCTTCTACAATGAGGGTGTAGAGGCTCAAATGAGATGCTGATGTCTAGCTCCTTACAAACTATGAACTTCATGAACAATGTGAACTCTTCTTAAGTTCGGCATTTTATCCTCACCATTTACATAACTATGGTTAGAAGCATAGACAAGGGGCACAGATCATTATGTGCCATATTCTGGGATTCTGATATTAAGTGGTTCGGTATAGTTGTGCCAAATTATTGGCTGGTGGAAGTCTGTTATCCATGACCTTTCAGAGATTTGAAAAAAAAACTTTTTCCCATAGAAATTCCCACCAAATTCACATATGTAGCATCTTGCTTTGGTCAGTGGAGTGGAGACAGAAGTAGTCCTGGTTTATCTAGGTTTTGAAATTCACCATCTGTCCTTCCTACACTGTCCTCTCTTAGCTATGTGGTCTATTAAATTGTTTCTTGTCCTTTCCTTCAACGACATGAAAAAAAGAAGGAGCTGACGGTTGGCTGGCCAGCTGTGAGGCAAACTCATTCATGGGACTGTCCTCCTCTCCAAAGCGCTGAGTCACCTCTGAGGACAGCCACTCAGTCTCCTGCCGGGACACAGATGGGAAAAGCCCTCCCTCCTTTAGCTGAGTTACTTTTCTTTGGAGAATATGTTTGCTGATTGTGAGAGAGAAGCAGGAGAAAGAAGAGAGAGAGAGAAGGAGAGAAAGAGAGAGAAGGAGAAGGTCACATGCAGAAGAGGGTGTCAGGGTCTGCAAGAGAAAACTGAGAGATGAAGGAGCAGAAAAGGAAACTAAGGGTTCTACCCGCTCTGAAGTCCCGGTCTGGTTACATGCAGACCATCTATTGGCTAAAGCATTTGGGGCATTTTTATTGTCTCCAATGAGCTAATTAATAGCAGTGGGCAGTTCTCCAAGACATACCCTCAGCACAGCGCACCACGAGAATGGTCACAAGGACCCACCTGGGCTGGGCTAGCCTGGCCAAAGTGACAATTAGCCAGACATGGCCAATAGCCAAAGCTTCCTACTCCTGTTCTAAGGGACATAGAAGGAATAAATTACTGCACATATTTTCATAGTTAGAATTGGGATAAAGGAATGGAATGAATACAATAACCAACATCAATAATGTTTCAAATTAAAAAAACAATGTTTCAAACAATATTTGAATAAAAAGTATGACTATCCTCAGTATACACACTTATCTTGTCTGCCATTAACTGGTATATTTATGGATATTAAATGATAGATAAAATTCTTTTAATGGTCTTTGGAAAAACTCTTTTTGCAGGGTTTTTAACTTGTAGAATAAAATACAAGGATTTCTTTAAAAAAACATTAAGTGAAACGTATTTGGAAGGGGCAGACTCTGGCTAAATTAATCAGGCCACAACCAGTGAGTTATGGAAGCACACAGAATCGACTCTCCAGTGTTTGGCCAGCCAGCATCTGCCCCACAATGAAGTGACTGCCTTTCTGGTGTGGGTTTCCATTCCGTTGCCTGCAGACCCACTGGGAGCAGCCCCATCCATTTGTGTAGTTCAGGGAGTAAGGAGATGGAGTTGAACAAGGAGAGAATTAGTCCAACCAAATAAGCATGAATGTCACAAGTACTAAAATTAAGACTTTTTCCAAGTTTAGCAGAAATTGTTTTCTAATGGTTAACATCAAACATTTCCACCTCCACACGTGTGCATCATGTTCTAGTGCTGTCAATGGTTATCACACCTGTGCCTACCTGTCTGCAGCATAGCCCAAGGTGAAGGCTCCAGCCAAGAAGCCCAGGTTTAGGATGGCTTGTGTGAGGTCCAGCATCCAAGCATTGCCACACACGAGGTCAAACTGGGAAAACGAAGCAAATACACAGGACATATGTGACCCTGCTTATCCTCAAGACACTTGATCTTCTGTCCCAGTCAATGATCGTTAAACATTTGCCCAAACACTCCTTAAAACTTTTAAATGTATCACATGCATATTCTCATATTGATATATAAATGTTTTGTCAGTTTCAATAACAGCCAAAGATGTAATTCACTGTATCCAACAATCTAAATACTGGAGCCATTGGCCAGCCACCATCACCCTGTAAAAGCAAGGTATTCAATATTCTCAATCTGAAGTCAATTATTTTTTCTCTTTGAATTCTTATTTTTGTGCCCACATACTTACATCCTAATATTATAAGTAGAAAATGTTTTATTGTATTTTGCATTAATGTGTATTGCATTAATGGTGAGGTAAATAAATACTTCTGTGTGTAAAAATTATGTACATAAATTGACATTCAATTAAAAAATTTTCCCTGAGACATTGTCTTTAAATATCCGAATCCTTTCTCATTGGGTTATAATTACAGTTATTAGACCACAGTGGATGAAAACACAAAATATGAGGAATTTTGAAAAAGATTTATTGCACGGGAATAACATTTTGTTGGAAATGTACCTCTGTATTTCTAGAAGAATGTTAAGAAAGGCTGGGGTTTTCCAGCTAGTTCATGTAATCTGCAGAGGGACATTGTTTATTACCAGAACCAGTTAAAGCTAAACATCAATTCTGTTCCCTTTTTTCATTTTTAAAAATTTGTGTGCCAGGAAAACTTGTTTGTCTAAGTAAATTAATGAGAATGGAGAGAGTTTAGTTAAAGCAACATCACTCAGTTCTTCTGGCTCCTTCTCAGGTACATGCTGAGACTCACACAGCAATCTAACATTAAAATTAGTTTTACTTTTCTGTTAACTCACAGGCTATTTAAGTTCTCCTATAATTTTGCTACATGGAAGGAAAAGGAAACCACCACACTTACAAAAAGTTGTTTCATCAAATACTAAGGTAATTTACTTTCTTCATTACCTTCTTACTATCCAAACCAACAGCCCAAACTGCCCTGTTGTTTGGTTCCCCACAGGTTTTTAAACCTCGGGTTAGTGCATCACAGAGGGGCAGGGGGGAGGTAGGATTCCTTTAGCAAAGTGGGAGAAGTTCATTAGGAAAAAGGACCTGTATCTTCATTGTACTCAGGAAGATCCGTTTTGGACCTATAGGAGCTGAGGCTCTTGGCAATGGATTCACTTCAAAGTACCCTGACGCCCCACCCTGTGACTGTCTTTGTGTACCTCCAAATGGCAAGCTCGCCCCAGCTTGAAGACCATTAGTAAATACACATTCATAAGCAAACTGTCACACGTATTTATCGAACCCAACTTCTTGTCTTGGTTTTACGGCTAATGATCTGTCACTTAACACAGCTGGAAAAAAAACAGGAGCATGAGTAGCTAGCCCACCTCACAGAGTTGCTGGAAAGACTTACAGAGATTAAAAAAGTAAAAAAGATTTACATATACACACGGTTAGTAGGAACTGTGGTGATTTAAAGGAGTTTTATCATCCATTTAGGTACTGCTTTCTCAGGGCACAACAATTTTATTTTAAGTAAACTTGCAGATGATTAATTATCTTAAATAATTTCCCATTGGAATTAAATATATAGAGAATACAATTAGAGGACAGCCACACACCAAAGAATGAAACTGGATGGCTTTTTTACACCATATACAAAAATAAACTAAAAATGGATTAAGGACCTAAATGTGAGACCTGAAACCATAAAAATTCTAGAAGAAAACACAGGCAGTAATTTCTCTGACATTGGCTATAGCAACATTTTTGTAGATGTGTCTCCTGAGGCAAGAGAAATACAAGCAAAAATAAACTATTGGGACTTCATCAAAATAAAAAGCTTCTGCGCAGCAAAGGAAACAATCAACGAAACTAAAAGGCAACTTACAGAATGGGAGAAGATATTTGCAAATGACATATCCGATAAAGGGTTAATACCCAAAATATACATAAAACTTATAAAACTCAAAACCCAAGAACAAATAATCCAATTTAAAAAATGAGCAGAAGACACGGGGGGCGCTTGAGTGCGTCCGTCTGTTAAGTGTTTGACTTCAGCTGAGATCATGATCTCAGGGTTGTGGGACTGAGCCCCACATCAGGCTCCACATTCAGAGGAAAGTCTGCTACTCTCTATCCCTCTGCCCCTTCCCCCTGAGCTCGCTCGCACGCTCTCTCTCTCTCTCTCTCAGATAGATAAATCTTTTAAAAATTTTTGTTAAAATTATAAAAATGAGCAGAAGACATGAACACACATCCAAAATAAATAAATAAATAAAGCAGACACCCAGATGGCCAACAGACACATGAAATGATGCTCAACATCACGCATCATCAGGGAAACGCAATTTAAAACCACAACGAGATGCCACCTCACACCTGTCAGAACGGCTAAAATCAAAAACACAAGAAACAAGTGTTGGCAAAGATGTAAAGAAAAAGGAACCCTCTTGGTGGGAATGCAAACTGGTGCAGCCACTACGGAAAGGAGTGTGGAGGTTCCTCAAAAAGTTCAAAGTAGAACTACCCTTTCATCCAGTAATTCACTACTGTGTATCTACCCAAAAAATCCAAAAACACTAATTGAAAAGGATATATAAACCCCAATGTTTATTGCAGCATTATTTATAATAGCCAAACTATGGAAGCAGCCCAAGTCCACTAATAGGTGAATGGATAAAGAAGATGTGGTATACATACACAATGGAATATTATGCAGCCATAAAAAAGAATGAAATCTTGCCATTTGCAACAACATGGATGGAGCTAGAGAGTATAATGGTAAGCGAAATAAGTCAATCAGAGCAAGACAAATGCCTCATGATTTTACTCATATATGGAATTTAAGAAACAAAACAAAGAGAGAGAGAGAGAGAGACAAACCAAGAAACAAATTCTTAACTCTAGATAACAAACCAGTGGTTACCAGAGGGGAGATGGGTGGAGGGATGGGGGAAATAGGTGATGGGGATGAAGAAGGGCACCTGTTATGTTGAGTACCAGTGATGTATGGAACTGCTGAACCATCATATTGTCTACCGGACAGTAACATAACACTGTATGTTAGCTACACTGGAATTAAGATACAAACTTCATAAAAACAAACACACGAAAGAATGCACTAAGAATAAGAAAAATGCTCTAAGAATAAAAGTATATCACATCTCAGAAACCAAACAGGCAATTTAACTGCCAGAGAAAACATTTTGCTTCAGAAAAGTAGCAGTCAGTGTCAAATAGAAATTCCCAAAGAGCAGCCGGACTTCAGATTAGCCGGGGAGGCAGGAAAGCTTTTCACTGATGACATAGCAAGGCCCAGCAAAAGCTATCCTTTCAGTGCATTTGTTCAGCTGCTTTTTGAATTGTATGAATTAAAATATCCCTCCCATAGTCTTTAAATACACAAAATATTCTTTAACATAAAACTGTTTATCTTTTTCATTCTCCCATAAGAGAAACTGTCAAAAAGAATTTTTTTTATACTTCATATTAAAATAAACATTTTTCATGTTTTAACTGAAAATAAATGTCCAAGTGGTTAAAGTTCTGCAATAACATTATCTAAAATACTATGATGCCATCTGGGCTACATACTACTGTCAGCTCTCTGTGTTTTGTTCTGCAGCCCAGGAGGTGGAGGTGTGGAAACTACGTTTCCCAGAATCCTTTGCCCACAAGGTTCTATTTAGGTTCTGCTAGTGGGGGAGGGGAGACTAAGTGCAAGATCAGAAAACAAGAAGGAGGTAGTGGTGATTCTGCTTCTGGATGTGGTAGTAGTTCCAGCTCTAATAGCGGCAGTGACAACAGTGGCTGGTGGCTGTAGAGGTCAGTCAGCGTTTCTAAGCACTCCCCATCCACATGGGAGCAAAGGAATGCTGGCTCTGTAATGCCTGGGGTAACAGGGCAAGGGCAGGGCAAGGGCTCTACAGGTGCTGTCCTTCTTGATCTCTCTCCTCTGTGCTTTACTAGCCTTCCAAAACAACTCAAACGCAGATCCTTTTACTAAATCCCTTCCTGCCTGAAATACCTAGCCTGGTTTCTGGCTTTATGACTGGGAGCATGCTATCTATCAAAGCACAAAATAAATTAACTTGAATTATGTACATGTAAGGAAATGTGCACACACACAAACACACACTTGTGTTTCCAGGACAGGGACCAATACAGCAGACGCAAGGATTCAGGGGCTTGGTTTTGGCTCTTACTCATACATCCAGGAGGGAGACCACTGCCTCTTGGGTCTGGCATTTCTGATCAGCTCTGAGCTCATTGCCTGCTATGGCAATAGCTCTGGGTCTGTGATATGTTTTCATGTCTAAAGAGAGGTTAACAGGCAATGAAGACCATGAGCTTCATAGGCTAAGGATTTTTTCCTGAAATAAGGTACTAAAGGTTTGTTGTAGTTCCCAGAGAGACCTAAAACCTCTTGTCAGACTCACCAAAGTCTCAATCAAGGACACACGCATTTATGTCTTTCTCCTACAGCAATTTATCAAGAACAAGTGAGATATCTCCTTTTTATTTTTTAAGTGTGTACATGCAAAAACACCTAAAAATTATTTTTAGGGGCACCTGGGTGGCTCAGTGGGTTAAGCCTCTGCCTTCAGCTCAGGTCATGATCTCACGGTCCTGGGATTGAGCCCCACATTGGGCTCTCTGCTCAGCAGTGAGCCTGCTTCCTCCTCTCTCTGCCTGTCTCTCTGCCTACTTGTGATCTCTCTCTCTCTCTCTGTCAAATGAATAAATAAAAAAATCTTAAAAAAAAATAAAAAAATAAAAATTATTTTTAAATACTCATAAATCCATGTGTACCCATTCTGTTCATTCCTAATCTTCAAAATCACTTTTATACAAAAGGAATTACTCTGCTTGGCATAAGCAGAAAGCCCATCGGATAAAACACTCAAATAACTCTTCATGTAATGCTGGAAGGATTATAC